GGTCGGGAATGCCCAGGCTATGTTTGCATAACTAATGATTTAGGGTTGCGATGAAAGACTTCGACCGTTTGGGAGAGACGCCAGTCTCCGCAACTTTTAGGCATCTCGTTAATTATTAGGTATTTTCTAGTTCGTTAGGTTGTTTAGTTTGTTTCATTTATTTCAATTAGCTTCGCCAAGTAGACCAGTGGCGGATCCAGGTGGAGGGTCGGGGGGGTCCAGACCCCCTATCAGACCTTAGGGGTTTTTTGCTTTCTCCCGTTATCCATAGCAAAACCATCTCCAGGATCCGCCAAAATGTACTTTTCAGAGCCTGAAATCTCAATTTTTTTCTGGGGAGGCCCCCAAACACCCTCTCCGCGCCTTTACTACTGACGTCTACATCCAAAAATTCTCCTTCAATCTACTTCACATTTTCGGGAAGACCCTGGAACCCCCCCTATCAAAAATTCCTGGATCCGCCCCTGTAGACAGGGTGACAACAACAGCTTGCCCCAATTACTGTGTACCCGTAAACCGGCCCCCACAATACCGGGGACTACGTCGATCCCCTACTCTTTTCAAACAGTGATGTGGGTTTTATTATTATTATTATTAGTAGTAGTAGTAGTAGTAGTAGTAACATTTTATTTAGACACGGTATCAATTCACACGCATACTCTTCCATCGAGCCGTGTATTAAATTAATTACAATACTAAATTAAATTATCTATAATAATAAATTAAATTATCTAGCTAAATATATTATTTACAAAATTATGTATAATCTATAAAAATTACCCTAAACTAACTATTTATTAAATTCGGTAGACAATTCGACATGATTTAAAAGAGCTAAGAGTGGGCTGTGACTTAGTGCTCAAAGGCAAGCTGTTCCAGAGGACGGAGGACGGAACAGCCCGTTCTTTAACGTCATTCCTTAGTATTGCACTGCGCATCCTTTCTGCGCATAATTTCGCGCATAATTAGCGCGCGCACATTAAAAACATGGCGGCTTTTTCATTGTGGCTATGCTCGCCAGAGAGGTAAATGATCGTTTTCTCGTAAACGAGTACGGTGACCTATCAATTTTTTCTCTTATTCACCTTCTTTCTATAAAATAAATATAGACTAATTTCTATTGCAGAAGAATAAATAATCACCGGAAACGTGAACTTAGCTAATAAAAACGTTTCTGGAAGCTGATATTGTAAGGAATTAAGGGGTATATACAAGGTCCTCCTGTTCCTAAACGAATACCGGGACTCCCTTTTTATTTCAAAATTTAAGTTCCCTTAAGATAAACAACCAATAGGAAAAGTTTGAATGACAATCTATTGTAAGTTCTGTTTCGATGGAATGACCTTAACGTCCCCTACTAATTTAGTATGAGAAGGCGTAGGAGACACGAGCCAACAGGTTAACGTCACCGCCCAATAGACCTTTCTCCAAAATGGCCGCCGCAAATTCAAAATGATTACAATTAAACTGAGCGGAAAATCAATACCAGCACCTGAAATACCACCTCTTGTTTGGTAATCGTACGAAATTTCGTTAGGTTAGGTTCTACCTGAGTTGAGAAAACGGAAGTTGACGCGATCATCTGAACTGAAACAAGGTATTAGTACAGCCAGCATGATCTTACCAGTTATTTTAAGACCCTGGTTTGTGCCCCGGGGGGGACTCCCATATAAAAGTGACGGGGGTGATCGCAGTACCTTTTAGGGGTTAAAATTGGTACCGTTAATTTGCATGTAAAGCGCTTAGAACAGCGATGAATAAGCGCTATAAAAGTTAGTATTATTATTATTAAAATCTAAAATGACTGCCGTTAGAGTTATTCCGGTACCTTTCAGGGTATTAAGCTGGAAAAAATATATAACAGGGACTAGTTTTGTCTTAGAATTGGTACCTCTTAGGGTTCGAGCCACACCCACAAAACGAGATGTTGGTACCTTTTAGGGGTTCTTTTAAACATTTCCGGCGATCACCCCCGTCACTTTTAATGGGAATCCCCCCGGCGGGTTTGTGGTCCGGCCGGGATTTGAACCCACGACCTCCCACTCAGCAGTCTGGTGCCCAACCAACTGAGCTATAAACCAGGCGGCGGTTTCCTTCCTTATTTGAGATTTTCAATCGGCAAGCTTAGAAAGACTACACAATGATTGTGGGATGTCAAAGAGGTACAGTATGTGGTAACATTAAACTTTAAATGAAAATGTCAGGCTGGTCTGTCGGGATTTTTTTTTAATTTGTTTATCATTCCTCGCAAAAACGGCGGTCTTCTCTTTTCAATTTCGCCGCAGTAGAAAAAAAGTGGACTGACCAGATCACCAGAGGGGATTTTTTTTCTTTCACAAGAAAAACAGAACTGATTTGAGGGGGAAAAATTACCTGATCACGTATGATTTTTAATTCAAACAAAAAAATTTCAAACCCAAATATACCTGAAATCAATTTAAATTTTTAGTTTTCTTTACATTTACATCCCATTCATTAAAATTTCGTTTTAAGCGGCAAAAATTAAAACTATAGAACTAATTTTGTTCAAGTGAAATTGAAAATTAAAAATTTAAATCAGCTGATCAATTTTTATATATTTTCTATTGTCCAAAAGAAAATTACAAAAGCGGACTTCTTTTATAGCGAAATTGAAATCAATTGCCAATTTTCTAAATGTGTCAGCCGTCCCCTCGATTACACCAATCAACAGCTGAACAGCTGTGAGCAATCCGTGTTTTAAAGTATAAAAGCTAAGGGACATACAAGTCATTTCACTAGACTTATTCCTAGCAATATATCAGTTAAGATTTGAAGTTAATGAGTTTTGGCGTGGCAATGAAGTCTGCAAAGATATTTTTCTTGGTCTTCCTCGGCGTGATGTCCGTGGCTCTAATGCAGAATACTCCCGCCGCAGAATCGCGTGTGGATAATATGCTGAGTAAGTTAAGTAACAAAGAATTAACTAGAGTTTCCCGAAGAGTAGCAATATTTTGCTCATGTTTTTAAAAGAGTTAAAAGGAGACGCAATTTTTTTCATACTTTACTTGCAATTGATTACCGTCCTCCTTTCCTAAACCAAAGTTTAGATCATGAACATTAATCCTGGAGAACGCTTACCCCAAAAAAATCTTCAAGAAATGCCGTAAGAATATTTTCTTACTCACGAGAATCTGGTAGCAATGTGAAGTCGTCGGCGGCGATCACTCGCAAACGAACGAATAGACTATGATCATCTACCAAGACTTCAGTTTTGGGACTTCTGTGGACTCTCATAATCAAGTGGCTGATGAACCGCATTTTCGACCGCAAATACTGACCGGGAAGGGTATGACTTTGAAGTTGAGTTCTACCACGCTCTTTCCAGAGTGTCCCTTTTTGCTTCTCATCTAGCCGTCTTGTTCAAAGTTTTCCGCCCCTTTTATCTGGTAGACACCCATGTGAAGACTTCTCATTAGCAGTTTTTTTCTGTTTTCTAATCATCGTCCCCATTTAGTGGTTTCATTACTGCTTGAGTTAAGAATTGACACATTAATTCAATGTATTTTTACTGATAGAAGGAGTCTTTCGCAAGCTAGAACTCAGACTTAAGTTGTAACTGATTGTTCGATTTGTCCCCATTGCTGCAACAATGAAGTTAAATTATTGTCTGTTTTCGCTTTTTTTTATGAAACTCAGTGATATCCAAAAAATTAAGCAATCACAGGAATATACAGAAGACCAGAATTTTGAATTCAAAACGCTTTGAGTTTATTCATGAAACAAACTCACGGTCATTAACGTAGTTTAGCATTTTTTAAACTTAATTGTCATTAATTATTTAGGAACTGACAACTGTTTTATTTGGGGTTGGGTGGGAATCTGATTTGCAAAATAAAACATTCACTAACAGATGATAATTGCGAATGAACATTTCGGTAATGGTTGTAGCAAAAATAAATGAATTAATAAATAAATACTTAGCATAAAATGAAATGAATGAAATGAATTTCTCTCCAGCTGTGTTTACTTTTCGACTTTAAATGTTTATCACCATTCTAAAGTTAATAAAAAAAGAAAAATCCAGAACGTAAAACTCAGAAATAAAAAAAAAAACCTGAAATGAACTGATGTATGCCCGATTACTCGATCCAAAAGGCGTTTCCCTTGGATTTGCTTCACTCAAATACTATAATTTCTCCCCCCATTTCTCGAACCCTCGATAACTCCCGCAAACTCGAACCAATTCGTGGCTCCCGTGGGAAAAATTCAACCCTCACTGGCTGACGATCGATAACTCGAACCTTTGAAAATTAGGTGCCAGTTTCAGTTATATTCGCGCCTTGAAACAAATTAACACTTCCAGACAAGTTGTATTCTCCAGTTTTACACATCAAGCTATACGGCGGTTGAGTTCGTCTGCGACGCAGCTAAGGTTCCTTTGTTTATGATCTGTTGTTTCCTTGAAGCTGCAGCCTGCGTGGCTGATCGCGCCTTCGCGCTCGAACTCCCCTCATCCCTCCCCTTTCTACGCCTGCCACGCAGGCTATTGAAGCTGTACGTTGTTGTAAACGCCAGCCCCAAGGTTGACAGCTTGCCTACTTGGTCGTGATAAAACAATACTTCTCAGTAATTTAGCGTACTTTCGATACCACCTTCGAAATCTCGAACCCCCCATTTCTCTCGAACCAATTTTCGTTTCCTACCGAGGTTCGAGAAAAATATCGGGATTCCACTGTATTTGTTAGTCAAGATCACGGACTGAGAGCCATAAAACCCTTATGCCGATATTTTAGTCAAAAACCTTCGGTTTATTTTTAGAATTCGTGTCATATATTTTTTGCCTTTAATTCTTATTCTCGATTTTATTTTGATATTATTGCAGCCATGTTGGATGACGCAGACAATGACGTAAGAGATCCAGCAGCTGGTAAGAAACAATCAACCTCGATCCCAGGCTATATGGTCTAAGCTCCCACGCGGTCCGACCCGCAGTGTGTGGAATGGTCACCGCCGTATATATGGCCGTAAGCTCCCACGAGTTTTCTGTAGCTCAGTGGTAAAGCGTACGACCGGTGTGTGGAAGGTCATAGGTTCGACTCCTGCTTGGAGATCTCGGAATTATTTTTCGAGTAGCTTCTTTGCAGTGTGCGGGAAGTTTGTCACATTTGAACCAAGTTATATGGCTTAAGAGACCCTGACCCTATATTTAAGGGTAGAAAATTGAAAATTGATAGATTACCCTTTTTAAGGCCCAAAACCGAAAAATGACATGTACACCATACTTAAGGGGAAAACGATAACTCAAAATTGTGTGAACAGGTCGTTTTTTATTTATTTTCAATTTTAAATCGCTTTGTTAATACTAGGGGTGGCGAATGGTAAATCCGAGACTTGCCGAGACGCCGAGACCCTGTTTTTAAAATCCGAGCCCGAGACTTAGCGCTCCAAAATCCGAGCCCGAGACGCAGTGATCCAAAACTCCGAGAAAATAGAGTATAAAAGAAGCTGCATTTGCGAGATTCAAAATTCGAGACTCCGAGACCGTCCTATTTCTGGCGAGCCCGAGATTCCGAGACGCTTTTTTTAAGCGCCGAGATTCCGAGACTCGGCTTAAATTTGCCGAGATTCGTTATTTTTGATAGACCATTCGCCACCCCTAATACTTTAACGAGTAGTTCAGTTTTAACAGACCATATCTTTTTCGTTTAGCTGGGCGTTTAGGTACTGCATAGTCTCTTGAATTTAGCTAATACAATTTATAGCAACCCGTATCTAAGGATCACGTGCACAATACCAAAAAGGATACCCTATTTAAGGGCTGAGCACCTCAAAAACCATACCCATCCCGTGGTACATACCTATATAGCCTACATATGAGAGTACCTCATCGCCCCCCCCCCCCCCCCCCCGTATGCATTTTAATACCAGCATACAGTACCAGTTACAGTGACCGCTAATTTTTATTTGGCAGGTTGTTTTGATGCGAATTCCGCGACATTTTGCAAACGGTGGAGAATAGCCTGCAGACCGGGTAATAAAAACGCTAACTATATGTACCAAAAATGCAGATTCACTTGTGGAATGTGTGGCTGATACAGGTAATCCTCTTTTTATTTTAATTTAAAAGGGTTTATCCAATACAGAGAATTTATTCAAATCAGGATTAAATATATAAGCTAATCCAAGTATGTCACAATCCAATGGATCGATGAAGGCTGGTGGCTCATCAATGCTGGCGCATGAAGTGACTAGAAAACCAGAGGAGGGGGGGGGGGGGGGGGGGGGGGGGGGCATAAAGTAAAATCAAAGCAAGGATAGGGGGCTCAAGGTAAAATAAGTCAACAAGGGGGGGGGAGGGGTGCTTACAATTTTATTTCAAGTACATAATTTATATGATTGGCGAATCCAGACGTATTTATAGGGCGGGGGCCCTATGGCTCTGTTGTACATTGCTACAGAGGTGATGTTTGTTCCAGACGCGGATGTCCAACAATTAAGCATGTAGTAGGAGCTATTCTTTCTGTATAAGATTTTAATCCACAGTTGCGCATGCGTGTAGAGAAAATGCAGGGTACTTGTATAAAGGTGTGTGTGTACTGTGAGGGGGCGGGGTCGTACAAAATTTCTGACTGATTAGAGGGGGGAAATAACTAAATTCACTCCTTTAGGAGGCGGGTATTACCTAATATTTCCCTACATGAAGCCCATTTTTCAACCCCCCCCCCCCCCCCTGATAACTATTGCACAGTCCCTTAGACCACCGCATAGTAATACAGGATCTGATCGTATTAATAAATCATTCTTTGCCTTTTAAACCGTTACTTTGCTGATTTTGATATATCTTAAAGGGACACTGTCCCGGTGTATTTGCTCAAAACAGTTATAAATGCACGAAATGGTCCCAATCTATGAAATAAGAACGTAATAAACTCTAACGAAATGATAAAAAGCAATTTCTTCACGAAATTCCATACTGCAACAACATGTTTGCAAAATTTCAAAGATTTCCGAGCCAAACTTGAAACTTTGAAAAACTGACATCCTGACGTTTTTTCAAAAATCCATATTGCAATCCATTTCCATCCTCGCTGTCGTTCGTCATCCTCACTTCTTAATGGGTTCCTGTCATTTTTCGAGTGCTATTCTACAGAATCAAACCATTATTGATCAACTTCCTATGATCTAGATATGTTTCTGAGCTTCCCAAAATCATGCTAAAATGAGGACAGTGCCCTTTAAGTAATGTGACAGCACTTGAACTAAAAAAATCCCAGACTTTGAAATGTTTGTTATATTAAAACTGATGTTAATAATGCTGATTTTTTTTTCTATTTTTTTTTTTCAATTCTCACAGGCACCTTAATTCAGAAACAGCCGCAATTTACGGATGATCTTAGCTTCAGGCTGTCACATTTATGTATACGATGGAAATCAATTGTCAATTCCAAATAATAATGATATAATAATAATAATAATAATAATAATAATAATAATCCAAAATAATAATGATGATATTAATTAAATGAAGCAATAAAGATCATCCGAATTATACAAATGTCCAGTAACTGTTTCTATTTGTAATAAACTTACTCTAATTGCCGAATAAACAACTTTCGATTATTTCCTATAGAAAGAATTGAATACACGCACGAAGAATGTTTCCTCAATGGCCCGCATCACGCGACTTTGCATGCACGCGCGCAGATAGACTACGGGGTGGGAGAGCACGCGAGCGAGCGCGAAAATCACCTCGAGGAGACGCGACGCGCTGGCGAGAAAAATTCTCCTTGAGGTGATTTTCGCGCGCGCTGCGTGCTCTCCCACTCGACTATGCCTGAGAAAAATGAGCGACTGCTCGTTGTAGCTCGCAGATAGACTTTCTAAAAGTCCTTCGCTTCTCGTTTCCGGAGTAGGACACTCGCGCTCGTTCGCGCTCCGCGCTTCCCCGCGCGCTTTGCGCTCGGTTTTTCGTCTTCCGCGAAAAAAAAACCCTGAGCTCGATTTGTGGGCAAGTCTAACATACAGACTGTAAGCAGAACTGAAAACTTTTACCCTTCACCCAAAAATGTAACTCCCAATTTTGTGTAAAATACAGTTTGACTTCGGATTCTTAAAATAAAGCTGAAAAGTGGCCAGAAATTTTTATGTAACGAAATCTTATTACGGATCCGAGTTTACGAGCTGCTGTTACCAAAAATCCTATCTGTCAGTCCTATCCAAAACGACGTTTATTTCTCTGAAAAAAATAGGCATTAATTTTCTTAAACAGTAGAAGCTCCCGTACGGCGGACACCCTCGGGAAACAGAAAAGGTGTCGAAACTGGAGCTGGCCGCTTACGGGAATGTGTAAACATAGCTAGATCTAGAGTTCAAACGGGGTTTTTCCAAGGCGGCCGTCTATAGCCGGAGCTGTCAACTTACGAGAGTATTCGATCAGAGAGCTTTGACTGTATTATGAAAGTTCGAGGTGACATTTCGGTAAAGAGAACTCCAGCTTTTCATTATACTTCAGTCCGAATATCTATGGCGATTAAAGCTTAAGCTTTCCAAATATAGATATTCCACCGAAGCGATCCGTTGGGTGCTCTCGAATTTTCTTTCTGATCGCTCTGTTCTTGAGTGGCGCAAAGTATATACCCACCCTTGATGAATTACATTTAGTGGTGAAACTGAAAACCTAAAGCTCGAATCGAGCCTCGATGAAGCTTAACCATTCAAACCATGAAATCAACGTGGTGAATGAATTTGAGATAAAATGTATTCCTTTGTCAGGAATTTGAATCAGATTATCAGTAAAATAAGATAGACATATTATTTATTAATGAAAACTAGCTGTCGACCCAGACAAACCTCAATGATTACAGTCAACGAAATTATCTGTTACTGTGGCGGTGAAATGAATTTATAAGGTAACTGTGGCGGTGAAATGAATTTAAATGTCATTACCATTACCATTACATTATAATTCACAAGTGAGGTAAAGTGGCATATAGATCACGTTTAAATTCACGGGAAATAAAACGGGCAATTCACATTTCACGAAAAAAAAACCCTAGAGAAATCGTATTCATGCACACTTCTAATCTGCAGCTGTGAGAGCGGGGTGGCCTTAAATGGAGTTAGCGCGTTTGGACTCCGGATCGAGCGGTCCGGGTTCGAACCCTGGCCGGGATCATTGTGTTGTGTTCTTGGGCAAGACACTCTCTCCACCCAGGAGTATAAATTGGTACTGGCGACAAAATGTTGGGGGATAACCTTCAATGGACTAGCATCCCATTCCGGGGAGAATAGCAATACTCCTAGTCGGCTTCATGTTACGGAAACCGGGATAAGCTCCTGCAGTACTAGAGTGTTGGCCCGAGTGAGGCTTTACCTCTTTTACTCTTGTAATCCGTGATATTTTAACAATCCGTCCACTTTTTATTCAACGCCGGCATAGAAATTGAGTAATTAGTTAAAAGACATAAACAAAATCAGGAAGAGTTAGCCGGTTCAATTATATTTTCATTTCACAGAAAATTATTGTGGAAAATCACTGCTCAGGGTTATTACGCAACCATCATTTCACATAAAATAAAAGAGGCAATTCGCGGCTCACGAACCTTTTGCCACCCTCATACAAGTTAAGAATTGAATGAAACTTCAAATTAAAATAATGGTTTCACTGAGACTACGTTTACACTAGAGGAGATTTGTCCGGATTCGTGACGAATCCGGGACGTTTTGGCACCAGATTCGTTTTGCAGTTTACACACAGGTGGACGAATCCGGGATAAAACTGTCCCGCCGTTTGGTCGCGTGTGCGGATATTTTGAATCCGGAAATCAAAGTGAATACTTTGTATCCGAATACTTTTAAATCCGGAATGTTTTGTAGTGTAAACGGTTATTCGAATGAATCCGGATATTTATCCGCCTGAGATCATATGAATTTCCCCGGATTCATCGATGTGTGTAAACAGTTGAGAATCCGAATAACCCTCCAGTGTAAACGCCGACGAATCCGAATACCCCAAATGTGATGAATCCGGAAACATTAATGAATCCGGAAACTTTTCCTCTAGTGTAAACTTAGTCTGAAAAACGGTAGGCAAACATAACGACATATTTCA